ATCCCAGCACTTTGAGAGGCCAAGGCAAGGATTGCCTGAGCCCGCGGGTTCGAGATCAGCCCGGGCAACTTGGTGAGACCTCATCTCTACAGTAAATTTTAAAATTAGCTGAACGTGGTAGCGTGCGCCTGTAGTTCTGGCTACTTGGAAGGCTGAGGCAAAAGGATCGCCTGAACCCAGCAGGTTGACGCTAGTGTGGCAGTGAGCGTGCCACTGCACCCTAGCCTGGGCAAGGGAGTTGAGACTCCAGCTCAAAAAAAAAAAAAAGTGATGTTGACACAGAAGTGGAAAGCATGAGGAGGGAGCAGCTGGAGCAGAGACAGTCCACTGAAGGGGCAGAAGAAGAAGAAGCTGGAGAGCTGCTGACTGTGGGGGACCCTGGGTGGATGTCATGTCTTCTTTAGTGTTTGTCATTGATGCCTCCTTTTTGTCCTACTGGACCAGGTCCTGGGCCACAGGGATGAGTCAGATAGAAGCCCCTGCCCTGTGGGCTAGTGTGCACTCAACTTGAAGTCTCTTGTGTAATGCTCACAACAGCCCGTAAATTAAATACTAATGGTATCCCTGGTTTATCCATAAGGAAGTGGTACACACCTTGCCCAGGGTCTGCAAACAGTGAGTGACCAGAGCTGAAGTTGAATCCCAGGACCAAGGATCTTAACTCCCTGTTTTACCACCTCTCAAAGGTTAGAGGTCAATTTTGCCTTGGGATGGAGGGGATCAGGAAAGATATGAGGGAGAGAAGTCTTACATAATGAGTAGGATGAATCATGTGGATAGAGGTGGGAAGGGTGTTAAAGACAAGGAACAGCATCAGCAAAAGCATGGAGGCATGAATTAGCAAGTGAGGACTTCAGATGGGCTGAAATTGAGACTGGAGAGGCAGACAGACTTACTGGCTATAAAGCTCAGGTCTGTGGGCAGTGGTGATGTGATCTGATTTGTATATGGAAGGGTCATTCTGGCATAGAATGGAAAGTGGATTGGGAAGCAGAAGCAGCCACTTCTAGGCACTCATTACATGCTCATTGGCTCAATAAATGGAACTGAATGATGTATTGTGTCCCATTTAGGTTTCAGTTCACTCAGCTGAACTTTGGGACATTTAGCAGTCATTATGACAGTCTAGGTGAAAGATGAAGAGACCTGGTCTGGATGTGGTAGTAGTGGGCTTGGGTTCAAGGGATAGATCTGTGAGGTTCTGAGAGGATAAAGAAGAACTAGATGACTAGCAGGACAAGATAAGAGGTACTAGAGTGGTGGAGAATCTGAAGTAGATTCCCAGGTTTCTGGTTTGGAGGACTAAATGAATATTAGAGGACTGTAAGTGCAGGAGGAGGAACAGATCTAGAGAAACTAGAAACGACTACATATGTTATGGCACATCTATGAGGCCAAATTATTAGAAGATACCATTTTGATGTCTATGACCATCTCTTACATAGATGTATATTATTTAACCAAACCTCTGTTGTAAACTTTTGGATTTTTTTTCTGTTTTTTCACTTATATAAATAATGCTGTAATAAACAGCTTTTTACGAAGGTCTCCTCCATTCTGATTACTTTTAGAAGGGAAATTTTTTGGTCTAAGGTATAAACAGCTTTGAGGCCTTTGACATATATTGTCAGATTGCTTTTTAGAAAGGCTGTACCATGACTTAGCAACAATGTTAAGTGGCATTTTCTTCTTAGTTTTTCATTTCTTAAAGAAAATATACTCCATATCTATAATATTGAATAAAATGATTATTTTTTACAGCCCCTTTAACATTTTTTGGAGGCGACAGTTCTGGTTTTCAGAAATTAATGTAATCAGAAAGCAAGATTCCATAAGCTGAGAACTCTGGACAGCCGATCAGCTTTACCATAGTGCTTTGCCTTTAAACAGAGTATGTGATAGCACATAATTTCAGATATATATGTAAGGCTGTTTCCTGAATAATAAGATGTATGAAAGGAACAGAAACAGATAATTTTTCTAATTAGAAAAAAAAAAAAAGGAAGGCTGTACCAAACTTTAATCCTAGAGCAGTGCAGAAAAATTCTACCTCAGCATACCACCAAAAGCACTAAGACATATGCATATACTCAGAGATATACATATTCTAGGGGGTTAAATATAGTATCTTGTTATTTTATTTTTTTATTTTATTATTATTACTTTTGATTTGGAGTCTCACTCCATCACCCAGGCTGGAGTGCAGTGGCACACTCACAGCCACCCCAACGTCAACCTGCTGGGCTAAGGTGATCCTTCCCCCTCAGCCTTCCAAGTAGCTGGAACTATAGACGAGTGCTACCACACCCGGCTAATTTTTTGATTTATGGTAGAGATAAGGTCTTGCCAAGTTGCCCAGGCTGTTCTCAAACCTGTGGGCTCAGGCAATCCCCTCACTCAGCCTCCCAAAGTGCTGGGGTTACAGGCTTGAGCCACTGCACCTGGCTGTATCTTGTTATTTTAATGTGCATTTCTTAGTTATTAGTGAGTTGAATTTTTTTCATGCTTATTAACCTTTTATTTATGCTCTTTACCATTTTTATGGGATCTCATTGACCTTTCATGAGTTGTTTTGTTTTGTTTTATGAGTTTTTAAATATGCATTTCTTACTATTTGTGACAAAGCTTATCCCACATTTTTGTTTCCCTCTCAATTTTGCTAATTATATTTTTGATGTATCAAAGCACTTAATTTTTTTTTTTTTTTTACATTTTTTTTTTTTTGACCTGGGGTCTCATCCTGTCACCCAAGCTGAAGTGCAGTGGCAATGATCACAGCTCACTGCAGCCTTGACCTTCTGGGCTCAAGTGATCTTCTCACCTCTGCCTCTCGAGTAGCTAGGACTTTTATTTTTTGTAGAAATGAGGTTTCACTGTGTTCCCTAGGCTGGTCTGGAACTCCTGAGCTCAAGAAATCCTCTCATCTTGGCCTCCCAAAGTGCTGGAATTATAGGTATGAGCCAGCCACTGTGCCTGGCAAAAAAAAAATTTTGTAACTCAAAATCTATTTATTTTTTTATTTCTGCCATTACATTAATGTTTAGACAGTTCAGTGATAAAAGACACATCCAAATTATCTTTTATTTTTACTTTTTTAGCATTTCCTTATTTTGTGAACTGTGTGAGGAGAGGGAGTAAATGGATCTTTTTCCTAAAGGGCAAATTTTCTAGTATCATTTGTTCCCACTGATGGTGAAAGTTCCTCTCTCATAGCCTATAACTACATTGACCTGCTTCTGGGCTCTCCTGTTTCACTGATCTTTCTGTTGATTCTTATATGAGTATCACCGTTGTAATAAGCACAAACCCATAATATACTGTAATACCTAATTTTTAATATAGGGGCATTATTTTTACCTGTTAAATCTTTTGGATGGGCTGTTAAGAATCCTTTTAATGAATTTCAAAATAATCCCACTGGGATTTTTTTGGAATTATGTTAAGCCTGTACATTAATCTGGAAGGAGTAGGCATTGTGTTAATATCCAGGCTTCCCATCCAGAAATATGATTTGTCTCTCCCCTTTTTTTTTTTTTTTCTTTTTTTTTTTTTTTGAGTTGGAGTCTCACTCTGTCACCCAAACTGGAGTGCAGTGGCACGCTCCCGGCCACCACACCCTCTACCTGCTGGGCTCCGGTGATCCTTCCACCTCAGCCTTCCAAGTAGCTGGAACTACAGACGCGCGCTACCATGCCCGGCTAATTTTTTGACTTATTGCAAAAATGTGGTCTTGCCAAGTTGCCCAGGTGGGTCTCAAACCCGCGGGCTCAGGCAATCCACTCACCTCAGCCTCCCAAAGTGCGGGATTACAGGCTGACCGAGCCCGGCTTGTCTCTCCCATTTTTAAGTCATCTTTTTATATTGCCCAATAAAGGATTATAGTTTTCCTCCTATAGGTCTCATATGTTTCTTAAGTTTATTGCTCAATATTTGATTTTTGTTACGATTGCAAATGGGATATTTTCTATTGTATCTGGTGATTATTTATTATTTCTATACTAAATTATTTTATCCATTCTAAGTTTAGTTTATTCTTTTAGGTTTTCTAGGGAAAACAACAAACTCACTGGAAATAAGTAGGTTGGAGCCCATGGTTTCCTAAGACCTCTGATCTGGAGAATTGGTTTGTGACTTTCTCCAGCAGTGCTCAGGGGTAGAAAAGGGGGATTGAATGGCTTGATCCCCAGCCCTGGTTTCCCTGGGCTAGGACAATGGAAGGACAAGGACAGAGTACTGGGGCAGCTTGCAAGAGAGAAGCTGACGTGACATACGTCAGGGTCTAGATGAGGAAGGGCTCACGTGCTGAACAGCAAGTCAGGCTGGGGCCTAGAGGTCTCCATGTGTTTGAGCAGGAGGAAAGGAAAACATTGGGAGGGGAGGAAGTTGTGGCCCTGGAACGGCCCCTGGGATGTCAGGTTTCAGAGGTAATGCCTTTCCAGAGTGATGCAGAGGTCTCTGAAGTAAGAATGATACTGCTTTGCAGTTAAAGAAGCTGGGGCTAGAGTAGCAGAACCGGGATTTGAGTATGTTCTGCTGTGCTGTACTAGCTCACATTCTGTCTCCATTTTTCAGGCTCACTTTTAGAACAGTTGGCTGAGAGAGCCAGGAGAGGCAGCAGGAGGAGAAGGGGGAGCTCAGCAGCACCAACAGGGGAGAGGGCAGGCTCCTCCCCAGCCCTGCAGCTGCTGTGGTCTTCCCTTGACCCAAAAGCCCTCTCAGGCCAGAGCGACACACCCAACAGCGTCCCATGTCCTGTGCCCTGCCCTGCAGCTTTCTTCGTCTCCTCCATTACACGTGGCCCTGCCACATGCTCACTCTTCCCCATCAGTTGTCCTTGTCCCTGTCACACACCCCATGTCCCCCCACATGAAAGGGCTTCCTACACCACAGGCCCCAGATTCCCCATTATACGCCTCATGTCCCCACTTGGGTCCCTGTCACTCTCTCCGTCCCACCCCTAGCTGTGTGCCCAGCTCATGTCCTCTTTGCTGTGTCTACAGAGTGCATCAGATGGCTTCTGGAAATCTGTGGCTACTCGAGTGCCCAAGGAGCCCCCCGAGATTCGCATCCTCAACCCGTATTTCATCCAAGAGGCCGCCTTTACCCTCATCGGCCTGCCCTTCAACAACGGCCTCATGGGCCGGGGGGTGAGATACTGGGGCCCTTGGGAGAGGGATGAGGAGAGCAGGGTCAGGGATGCCTTGGGACGGAAGGAGGGGGTGGCAGGGTAGGGCCAGTGCTCCTCTGAGATAGTTTTCTGGGGAAGAGGACTGTTCTTGGGCACCGAGGCTAGCTCTGGGGAGCTTGGCTGAAGTCTGAGCTGACCCAATCCTCTAGCTGGACTCTACACAACCCCTCTCCATCTTCCAGAACATCCCTACCCTTGGCAGTGTGGCAGTGACCATGGCACTACATGGTTGTGACGAGGTGGCCGTCGCAGGCTTTGGCTACGACATGAGCACGCCCAATGCACCCCTGCACTACTATGAGACCGTGCGCATGGCAGCTATCAAAGAGGTTCGGGGCTGGGCATTGGGGGTGGTTCCTGGGTGGGGCCGAGGGAGGAGGTGCACAAATAAATGACAAAAGGGGGAGCCAGTGGCTGCTGTGATTGCCCAGAAGGTCCTGCCCCACCCTCAGCTAAGTGGAGTCTCTAGAGGTCCATCCCTGCATGCAAGCCCCTGACCACCAAGCATCCTACGTGCTTTCTCCCTAGCCTTCCACTGGGCCCAGCACTTTCTCCCTGAGCTTTCCTTCCATGGAACCCTTGCTGCCTTTGTCCTGCACCTCCCTCCTTGCTGCATTTCCCGGCCTTATACACTATCCTTGGTGCCAGCTCGGAGTCATCCTCTCAATCTCAATCCTGCCTTCCCCCAAAGGGCTTCCTTGCCCCTCAAACAACCCACAAATAAACATTGCCTCTCCAACTCAAGATGCTCCACCCCTACCCCATACCTCTTCCACAGATCCTGGAGGTCTTTATTGCCCAGAATTGCTTCCCAGGTGACTCATATGGACAGGTACAGTGAAGTTCTCCCAGCCTTCCAGTCAGCTTCTTCTGGCACTGCTGCCTTCCCAGCCAGAACCCATGTGGAGAGTCTGAACCCCTCTTCCCCTACCTCAGCTTCGACTGTTACTAGCCTTCCACAGTCCCAGCCTGCAACCTGGAAGTCTTGAACAGCTTCTCTGCTGTGACATCTGGGTGACTAGGGACTGTCGAAGGGAATATCCCAACTTGCAGATCCATATTTCTGTAAATCCAGAGGCTTTATTTAGCCTCAGCTCTCATTCCTGCTCATCTGTCTTCTTACCTGTCCTTCTCTACCCCCGCCCCGGTCTAGAGCCTTTTATTCACCACACGCTCCCAACCCTCCCCTCCTCCTGTGAGAAAACTGAAGTTGCAGAGGGGACTCAGTCCACCACAACAACCCTTCATGCTCCTCACTCCCACTTGGCCCTTCACAGCCTGGCACCCCCTCAACCTGGCCTGATACCCACCAAGGTTACCAGTGACCTACCTCAAGGCTGCCAAATTCGAGGGACACGTGTCATCTTTCCTGATCTCTCAGAAACATTTTCTGTGTTGACCGCCCCTTCCTCTTTGAAACTCTGTCTTGCTTAAAACTCCTGAGTCAGTAATATCTAGTGTTCTTATTACACTTGCCATTCTCTCTCCTTCTCTTTCTCAGTGTCATCGATTCTGATCTGTCCCTTAAGAATCAACATTCAGCCGGGCTTGGTGGCTCAGCCTGTAATCCCACGCCTTTGGGAGGCTGAGGTGAGTGGATTGCTTGAGCCCGCGGGTTCGATACCTGCCTGGGCAGTGAGACCTCATCTCTACAATAAATCAAAAAAATCAGCCGGGCGTGGTAGCGCATGCCTGTAATTCTGGCTACTTGGAAGGCTGAAGCGGAAGGATCGCCGGAGCCCAGCAGGCGAGGCTGCGGTGGCCGGGAGCAGCCACTGCACTCCAGTCTGGGCGACAGAGTGAGACTCCAACTCAAAAAAAAAAAAAAGAATCAACATTAGCCAAGACTCCACCCCAGACAGTCTTCTCTTCTCACTTTCCATATTCTCTGGGAGACTGACATCCCCATTCATGGAGTCAGTTACAAATAGACCACATTAGGCTTTTTTGCTGCTGTAATGGAATACCATAGACTCGGTAGCTTTTCTACAACAGAAATTTATTTCTCACTGTCCTGGAGGCTTGGAAGTCTAAGATCAAGGTGTAGGAAACTTCAATGTCTGGGGAGAACCTACTTCTGGGTTCATTGATGATCTCTTCTCCCTGTGTCCTCACATGGTGGAAGGGGTGAGGAAGCTCCTGAGTCTCTTTTATAAGGGCACTAATCTCACTCAAGGCTCTGCCTTCATGACCTGATTACCTCGCAAAGGCCCCACCTCCTAATACCATCACACCGGGGGTTAGGTTTCACTGTATTAATTTTGGGAGACATAAACATTAACAGGTTCATTCAGGCTACCTCAAGTCATGGGGAGTTATTTCAAAAATATGTATGAAACTTGGGAAACTAGAAAATAGACTCCCAGCAGGGCCTCCTGATGCCTAGAATGGGATTCAGGAGTGAGAAGCTCATTCTGGGTCAGGGATAGTTCTAGGGCTGTCCTGTTCCTCGGCAGTGGCTCCAACCCTGCCTCGTTATGACTGTGGCCTGGTCAGTCTTCCATCGCTGCCTCTCTTCATGTGTCTTCTTGTTGCTTTATCCCCAACTAGCACCTACTCCAAGCTGCTCTCACAGCTTTTATCTGCCTTCTAGCTTCTATTTACTTATATCTTTGATCTCTTACATACTCTTTTTATGTACACTTCATGTAAAGGTTTTAGGCAGAAGGTAAGAACCATAGACATGGGCAGCAACCAGATCATAGTGGGCTTTTTATGCCCTGGCAAGGAGTGTGGACTTTAGTTTGTAGGCAGTGGGGAGCCATGGAGACTTTTAGGCCATAGATTAGCATGTCGTCAGGTCACTGTGGCTGCAGTATGAAGTAGAGGGAACAAGGCAGGAACAGAAACTAGATGGGGAGCTGTCACTGCAGTCTGGGCAAGAGATGGTGACTCCTGAACCAGATCTTTGACCATGGTGATGAGGATAAGACAGGGGCAAGAAACAGCTAGGATGTGAAATCAGCAGAGCCTGGGGATTGCCTAAGTGCAGGAATGAGACCAAAGGATACCACCTTCCTGAAGCCCTCTCTGGTGGAGGCTGTTCCTTCTCTTCCCCCACCATACGTCCGCTTCCAGGCCATTGCCCCTTCTTCTTCATGTGACTCCTCTGGCTCCGCAACTCACGGCAAGGATACCACCTTCCTGAAGCCCTCTCTGGTGGAAGCTGTTCCTTCTCTTCCCCCACCATACGTCCGCTTCCAGGCCATTGCCCCTTCTTCTTCATGTGACTCCTCTGGCTCCGCAACTCACGGCATCTGCTGCAACACCTTCTGTGCAGAGTGTGTAAGCGTGAGGGCTCCGAATCTAATGAGCTGAGTTCAGAACCTGGCTCTAGACATTTATTTATTTATTTATTTATTTATTTATTTATTTATAGAGATGAGGTCTCACTATGTCACCCAGTCTAATCTTGAACTCCTGGGCTTGAACAATTCTCTTGCCTCAGCCTCCCAAAGTGCTGGGATTACAGGCATGAGCTACCACACCCAACTCCCCTAGACTTTCATTTACTTATCTACAAAAGGGATGAAAATAGCACCTACCTCCTAGGGTTTGGGAATGATTGGACATGATAATATATTTTAAAAGGCCTGGTACATAGTAAGCACTCATAACTGTTAGCCACCATTTTAATATTTTACCCCTACTCACCACTGTTGCCTGGATGAGGTACCACTGCCACCAACCCCCTGGATGAGGATTCACTGAGAATGTTGGTGCCTGGGTGTAGAATCCTTCTGTCACCCAGGGTGTCTCCAGTGGTTACAAGGACCATTCGGTGTCCTCGCCTCCCATCTCCTCACCTGTACTTGCCCTGACCAGCTCACTCTGCAAGCCCAGCAGGTGGGTGTGGGATGCAGAGACACGTGGAGCAAGGATTGGCTGCTGTGGGTATGTCAGGAATATTGGTGGAATTCATAAAGGAGACAGTAGGGAAGAACTGGGAAGGCACAGCATCATGGAGACCATGATGGACCAGCATTCCAGAAGAGTGTCTACAGTGTCAGGTGCTGCAGGGAAGTCCAGCAAGATGAGTACTGAGAAGCGACCATCAGTTGTATCTGTCAGGAGCTCACTGCTAACTGTGGTAAGAACAGTTCCAAAGGTGCAGTGGAGCAGGAGCCAGGCTGCAGTCATGAACAGTGAGTAGAAGGTGATGTAGAGACAATAGGGTAAGGGCTCTCAGGATGCTGGGGGAGCAGGAAGGAGAGAGACCAACAGCGGCTTGAGGATGTAGTGGTTTCACACATGAGTTGGCCAAACAGCAGAGCAGTCTAAGCTGGAAGTATAGATTTGTGAGTTGTTAGCACAGCTGCTTGTTCAGCTATAAGGAAGGCATGGAGGAGACTTCCTAGGGAGGGAACAGAGAGTAAAAAGGGCAGATCATCAGGCAGGACCCGGGAACACCGATATTTGGTAATAGGGTGAGATAAAGACCTCTGAGAATGTGGACCGTGACATGGGATGGGCATCTGTAGCCAGAATCAAGGGTCCTAGTGAGGCTGGGAATCCAGGATGACCAGAACTCTGTGCCCACCATAGCCAGTGCAGAGCTATGGTGAACGTGTATGTTATCTGCACCGAAGGGGAATTAGGCAAAGAGCACCTGAGAGGCGGCATCATCTGGTCCAAGAGAGCTACACCCCAGAGCAGACTTTTTGGTAATGAAAACTGTCAAACAGATTCATAAATATAAAGGATGACATCATGAGCCCCCTCATACCTGTCCTCCACCTTCCTCATCATCAACACATGGCCAAAACTGTTTCATCTCTTCTTCCTCTTATGCTCCTCATCCCACTGATTATTTGGAAACAGGTCTCAGATATCGTATCATTCCAGCCATGAATATTTTGTTAAGATTCTCTGAAAAAGTACTTTTTAAAATTATCACACTTAAACAAATTAACAATAATTCCTTAATATCATCAGATACCCAGTCCTCTACTGACCTTTTAACCCTCAGTGACTATTAGTGAGGGGTGGCCTAGTGACCTACTCTGATGTAGGTCCATGTCCTCAAAGAGAGACAGTGAGCCAGATATTTAATCTTTAGAGAATTAGAGTAAGTCACCCAGAGATTTGCAACATGGAGGGGCAGTTGCAGGTAGCAGAGTATGACAGGAGCCTTGCAGGGTCTGGAGGTTTTAGGGAGTCTGGAGGGACAGCTGCATGTGAGGAAGACCCTGCCCACCTTCATGTGCTGGGGAGTGGTGGAGAAGAAACAGTCACCACTTGAAAGGGAGACTAGGGGCCCTGTCCTGTGGGCAGCTGGGCTTGTGAGCACAAGAAGTTGAAGGGAATGTTCAGAGATGAGGAATATAGGGAATTTTGCTGATAACTGCCTGAGTTTCATATGGAAAAGATTTGGAAGGTTGGAGATAATTGACTAAGCAGAATAAGGACTGGGCAGAGCCATAAATTCTTTTTTTAAATGTTTTGTTTATTTCTAAAAAGATAGGGTCTCACTATTTTGCCCAGGCTGGACTTGAACTCCCGGGTTCAAGTGATCTTCTTGCCCCAGCCTCCCTAAGAGCTAGACTACAGGCATGTACTACCATGCCCAGTTATGTTCTTAGCACCAGTAGATAGTGACAAGTTATGGGGAAGCTCAGTGCTCACAAATGCAACAGAGAGTCAGTTGGGTACAACTACTATAAGCTATTGGCATTCATTCAATCAAACCTTGTTCATTAAAGCTTCCTGGTGACAGTACTAGAAATAGGTAAGAACGCTACCCTGGGTGTGGTCTTCCCCCAGGAGCCTCTTCTAGCAATTTTGAAATACAGAGGCTAGTCTCGGTGGCTCAGCCTGTAATCCCAGCACTTTGGGAAGCCAAGGCGAGTGGATTGCCTGAGCCCATGGGTTCGAGACCAACCCGGGCAACTTGGTGAGACCTTGTCTCTACAATAAATCAAAAATTAGTTGGGTGTGGTAGCGCACACCTATAGTTCTGTGGCTGCTTGGAAGGCTGAGGTGGAAGGATCCCCAGAGCCCAGCAGGTCGACACTGGTGTGGCTGTGAACGTGCCACTGCACTCCAGCCTGGGTGATGGAGTGAGACTCCTACTCAAAAAAAAAAAGAGAAAAGAAATATAGAAGACATTATTATTAACTATGATCAAATGTTCTCACCACAAAGAAACTGACAAGGATATAAGGTGATGGGTGTTTGCTTGATTTAATTATTCCACAATGTATACATACATCAAAATATCACATTGTACTCCATAAATATATACAATTATTATGTCAATTAAAATTTTTTTTTTAATTTTGTTTGAGTCAGGGTCTGGAGTGCAGGGGCGTGATCACAATGATCACAGCTCACAGCAGCCTCAACTTCCTGGGCTCAGGCAATCCTTCCTCTTCAGCCTCCCGAGTAGCTGGGACTACAGGCACATGCCACCACACCTGGCCAATTTTTAAAATTTTTTTGTAGACATAAGTTTTCACTGTGTTGCCCATGATGGTCTCAAATGCCATCAAGCAATCCTCCCACCTCAGCCTCCCAAAGTGCTGGGATTACAGGTGTGAGTCACCATGCCCGACCAATTTTTAAAAAAAATTTTTTTTAAATTAGCCTTTTCCTCTCAGGCTCTACAGCTCCTCCAATCTGGGAGTCAGAATTTCATCAGCTGCCTCCCGGCCTGGAGAATAAATTGCATCAGGTCAGAGAATGATACAGCCACACCTTGCTATTGGACATAAGTGACTCACATTGCCTGCCTTTGGGGTGTCTATAACCCAGTACTGCCTAACAAAGTGGGTTGATGTGTGTGGGACCAGTCCCTTCCTCCAGCACTGAGTAGGGGGCTGGGAGGCTCACACCTCCTAAGACTTGGAAGAAGTCAAGAGGCATAGTTCTCTGGGATGAAGACAAAAGTACAAGGGTTACTTTCTCCAAGTCTTGGGAAGGAAGGAGGATGAGTGGTAGCACTCCTAGAGCTGGGTCATGACATAGCCACAACTGGTTACAGGTATCCACCTTCGATTTCCATGGTCACAGAACACTGGAGGGTGATGAGTGGAAGGATATCAAACCCGGGAAAGGGCACTAAAGGCTGGAGCGGGGCTGCATCCCAGCAGCCATCTGGGCCACCTCACTGATCACTTCTTGTCTCTTTCCTTCCAGTCCTGGACACACAATATCCAGCGAGAGAAGGAATTTCTGCGGAAGCTGGTGAAGGCACATGTTATCACTGACCTAAGCAGTGGCATCTGAGTGGGCCCAGCACATGGCCATAGAGGCCCAGGCACCACCAGGAGCAAGCAGCAGCCACCGCCACCTAACGCAGGAGTCTCCAGACCCAGAGAAGGACAGTGCCAAGAGGCCCCAGGGGTGGTGAGGCCTTGGCAGAGCAGCCAGAGCTGTGCCTGCTCAGCACCAGCCTCAGAGACCAGCGCTCAGCCTCACTCTCAGCCAGGGTCCTGGAAGCCAGAGGGCCAGTAGCTACTGGCTGTGCCCTGCAGGCCCAGCATGCAGGAGGTGGGACATTAGGCAGCAAGGTTGCTGCCGGAATCATTTCTCCAATCAGTGTTCAGTATATTATCATTTTGTGAATTTGGGTAGTGGGGAGGGAAGGGATAATTTATTTTTAAATAAGGTTGGAGATGTCAAGTTTGGTCCACTTGCCGTGTAGGAAGAGGCCCACTAGAGATCTCACCAGGCAGTGGTACCAATAAGCTCCCTGTAGGGCAGGAGTGTCATCCCAGCCTGTATCCTGCTCCAGGGCTACATGGCGGTAGGCAGGATCTCGTGCCAGCCCCATCCAGTTTGGCCTTTCTTGGGGAGAAGATGGGCTATTTTCATTCACCAGCCCCTAGCTGTCCCACAGGGAAACCCTGGAGCCATCCCTTCGGGGCCAACAAGACAGTCCCCAGGCTAGAGCAGAGAGAACTTTAAAGCTCAGAGGTGAGACCCACCTCAGTCTGATGGGAATGGCTCCCCTCCCCGGCTGCAACTTATCCAGAGGACAGTGCCCCAGGCCTGGGCTAACCAACTTTCCAGATGTTCTGGGTTTCAGCAGACTGCCAGGTCCTTGGGTTCTGCCTCTAGCCTGGACCAGAGGGAAGTGAGGCTCAAGGACCTTACCCAGGCGGTGGCAGCCATCCCAGATAGCCCTCATGGAAGCAATAAAGCTCTTCCCTGAGCCTGGCCTCCTTTTGCTTTCTCTGACTCTCCTGGAAGAAACAGGAACCTGGGCTTTAGCAGCTATACTAAAATCCAACCCAAGGGCCTTCTCTTCATCCCACAGATTCCTGGGTCCCTTTCACTTCTCGTGCCAGTGCAGGACCTGGGTAGCCACCTAAAGGCCTCTGGAGCTCCTGTCTCACACAGTCCTGTGTCCTCCTTGCCCCAAGAGAGATAGACCAAACCCAGGTGCCCCCTAGAGGAGCCAGGGACAGGCGGCTGGTGCCTTCCGCCCTAGGACACTGCTTCTGGGTCACCACAGCTATAGCGCTACAGGGACAAGGATTCCTGCAAGCACAGAAAAGTACTGCTGAGGCCCTGGCATGCAGAGGTCCCCAGACCCTCCTGATACCCCTGGCTGTGCTCTCAGAAGGACATGTCCCATATTCACCATTAGCACAGAGGCACACCATCTCCCTCAGCCCCCCTCTTCTAGCATAGAACAGGAAGGCATACAGCCCAGCTCTAGGAATCCCTGTCAAATTTAGGAAAGACCAGCATGCTGACTCACGTCTATAATCCCAGCACTTTGGGAGGCAGAGGCGAGAGAATTGCCTGAGCCCAGAGGCTTAAACCAGCCTGGGCAAATTTGGCGCGACATCATCTCTACAATAAATTAAAAAATTAGCCAGCATGGTGGCACATGTCTGTAGTTCCAGTTGCTTGGAAGACTGAGACGGAAGGATCACCTGAGCTCAGCAGGCAGAGGCTAGGGTGGCCATGAGCATGCCACTGCACACCAGCCTGGGCAACAGAGTGGAAATTTTTTTTCCAACTAAAAAAAAAAATTGGAAAGGACATTGACCTCCCACCACGCCCCCTTAGAGCCCTAGGATTTGATCCCACCCTTCTCTAGCATCCCCAGGAAAGCCTGAGAATGGAGAAACTGATACGTGTACTTGAAGCCAAGGAGTGAGCTTCCACTGGACACTGCCACACAGCAGTAAGTGGGGCAGCTAGCCGCTGCACCTCTCTCCTGCCCACCCCAATCTAAAAATCCAAGCAACCCTAGGCCCTCCTGCTGGTGAGCCCTAAGGATGGAGTCCTGGCCAACCCAAGGTCCACCACCTTCCTACACGCCCCTTTCCTGCTGCGGTCTGTCCTCAGATGGAAGCCTCCTGAGCTGAGAGGGGAAGAAAGGCCCTGATTGAGAGACAGGCATACTCTGTTGGAAACAGGGCTATGAACCCAGCTCTAATGCATGCATTCCCACCTGGATGGTGCCCCCTGAAGTTGCACAGGGCAGAGACTGCATGCCTATAAGAGGTGGCTCTAGCTGGAAAGGCACCACAACTGTAGAGCCGGTTGTGGAAGGCAAGAAACCAAGCTGCTCACAGCTTGGCCTCCTGTTCTTTGGGGGTCCTGTTAAGCCTGTGGGCAGCCCCCAGCACCACCTGCAGTTCTCTGCAGTCTGATGTCTAATTCCCACCACTGCAGGAGACTACTCACAAAAGCTGTGGTTTGGAGTGCTGGCTGTACTCCAGAGTCACCTGTGCAAATTTGAAAACTGTGCCCACCCCAAGATCCTGATTCAGGTCTGGGGTGGGGCCCGGATGTGGGTAGTTTTTAAAGGTCCCCAATGGTTCTGATGCATAGCCAGGGTACAGCTGGTCCACACATGTTCCCTGAGTCTCTCATCCCCACCCACAGCTTCCAATTGTCAGTTGGTTGACAATTTACAAATTGCCATCGCTAGCCCAGCTCTCTCCCCTTCTCTACAGGCTGCAAATTCAGCTGCTTCCTGAACATTTCCACTAGGATAAGGCACAGGCCCTTCCAACTCATCACAGCCAACACTGAACTCATGAGCCCCTGTCCCCTCCTCCAAGAGCCCCAGGTCCCAGATCGCATCCTCTCCACCTAGTCATTCAGGCCAAAGCCAGCCTTTGCAAGGCCCATCTCCTCACCCTGACCGGTCAGGCACTGACTTGATTTTCCAAAGGGTGTGTTTGGGATTGGGCCCCTGCAGCCCCATGCTCAGCACACTGCCTGAGGCCTCATCCTCTTGGGCCGTGGTCTCCTATGTCTCTACCTCTCCTCCAGTCTGCCTGCCTCCAAACCCTCCTCCCACTACAGTCCGAGTAATCCACTACGATGCATATCTGGTCACCCCATTCTGTTCAAAACCCTTCGGTGGTTCCTAGTGTCATTGGGGAAAAGACCAGACCGTGTGACTCACCCAACCCCCACACCTGCCAAATTGCCAAATGAGGCATCTGAAACGCTACCCTCCAGCTCCTACTTCCAGCCTCAGCTCAAACGTTCGTCCTCTGTGACCCTCCCCTTCTTCAGCCCTCGGTACCCACTTCTACCAACGCTGCCCTCGTTGTCCCGCAGCGACAGCCCTGTTGGCAAGTGTGTCCCTCCTCCAAGTCCCAGACAGCCAGGAGGTGAGGGTGGGGCAACTAGAGTCGTGTCAGACCTCGAAATCCCCTGCGCAGAACCCTACGACCCAACCAGACGCGTGAACCTTCTCATGAGAAGAAATGGGCGTCGGAGCAGGGAGCAGTCGCCACGGGGCGACCGACCGAGACCCCCAAGTCTGCGCACAGCAGCGGGCGGCGGCTCCAGGCAGGGACCGGCCTGCCCCCTCCCTCTCCGCCCTCGCTCGCTCTCTCCCGCCCTCGGCCCGGCCTCCCAGCTCCTACTTCGGGTGTCCACAAACTCTGAACTCCCAGTGTCCGCGCCTCTCCGCCGCCAGAGTGCTCCACGCTCTGCATCCGGGGGTCCCCTCCCAGCGTTTACACCCACCTCGGGGAACCTAGCCGAGCCAGGGGGCACCGGATCCGATGGGTGGAGCGGCCAGGTGAGCCCTGAAAGGTGGGGCGGGGCGGGGGCGCTCCCGGCCCCACCCCGGGATCCGGTGACGCCGGGGCTGGAATTTGACACCGGACGGCGGCGGGCAGGAGGCTGCTGAGGGATGGAGTTGGGCCCGGCCCCCAGACACGGCCCACGGGCTCCGCCAGCAGCAGGTCCCTCGGGCCCGGAGCCCCACACCCGAGGTAAGCTAGCCCGCTTGTGCATCCCTGTCCCAGCTCGCCCCTGGGGCTAAGGGAGCGGGCAGGACCATCCCCCTCCACTCCATTCTGGCATCCTCCCTCTCCTGGGCCCTCAGCGCAGCTCTCCGCCCCTCCCAGCCCTTCAGTCCCTCTTGTCGCTTGTGGGACTGTGCTAGCCCTGCCGGCCCGCTGTAACGTGAGGCTCCCGCTGCCGCTACAGGGCGCACACTGGCTGCCAAGGCCACACTTTTGGCTAAAAGAGGCGCTGCCAGGTGCACAACCCTGGACATGAGCCATTTGAGCTTCGGGGAGAAGCCCAGCACCAGTCCCAGGAATGGGGCCTAGAAGAACACGGTGCAGTATCCCGTGGTGAGTAGCAGGCTGGTGTGTGTGTGGGCGGGGGCAAGGGCTACAGGACCAAGTGGCACCAGAGGCAAGGAGGGAGAGGTAAGGCCTGGGCTGCCCTCAAGGCACCTGCTCCTGGGCTCCCCCTAGCGCAGAGGGCCCCTAAGGCTGTCTTGCCAGGCTTTCCCTCCATCAGTGAGAATAGTCACCGGCCTGGCCTGGAAGGCCCTCAACCCACTTAGCCGACAGATGCTCACCTGGCCCTGGAGATCACCCCAGGAAGGCCTTGGAGGTCTGCCCCCCATGTGTGCAGGCATGGGGCTGTGCTAGGGTCCATCCCCCATGTGTGCTGGGGCATGGGGGTGAGGGTGACAGCTGGGACCCAAGAGGAGGCTAGTTAATGAAGACTCATGAAGGCTCTGGGGCCCCAAAGGGGTGTTTAGGAGTGCCAGCTGGTAGGGGCTCAAGAAGGCTGGCTGGGATCAGGAAGGGTGGCTCATGGGGAAACTTCTAGAAACAAGACTAGGCTGCCAGGTCCACAGAAGGCTGGAGAGCGGGCCTAAACCAGCCAGGCCTCAGGGTGGCTCAGCTCCTATCGACCAGGCTGACATGGAAGCCTGGCTGGCCCCTCCTGGGAGTGGCTCAGCCCTGAGTGTGACTGAGGGTACGGAAAAGCCCACCCTTCTTTGAGTCTTCAGGCCTGGCAGACTCTGCCCCCTGGTGGCCATAGGAAGCCATGGCCTGGGCCCCGTGTTTTTAGAGGGCCCATTAGCCCCATCATCCCCTGGCTCTGGAGGAACACCTGTGGTTAGAAGAGGAAACTCAGGCAGCTCTGGGTCCAGAACAGAGATCCCAGAGGAGCAAGGTGCAGCAGCTCTGGGTGGGCAGCACAGGCTGAGGCCTGGGCTTTACTGTCACCAGATAACTCTCAGAGTGACCAGCCAGCACCTGATTCTCCAGGCCTCAGCTTCTTCCCTGCAGTATGGACCAAGCATGTCTAGCTACTCAATCCTGGCAGCTCCAGCCCTATAGCACAGAGCAGGCAGTTTCTGGGAAAAGAGGACCCTGCCCTACCCCCGGCTGTGTGTCTTTGTCACCATAAACAACCTCTGAGCTTCTCTGAGCCTTGTTTGCTCATCTGGAAAAAGGGGAGCAATCATTTACCCCATGGTTTTATGAAAGAGGAAAGAACAGAAAGCACCTAACACATAGTAAGGTTCCCAGTGCAGCTGCTTCTCCTCTTGGATTGAGCCCAGCTACCCAAGTCCCTGTTCCTCACCTGGAGAAAGTGGGGTGGAAGGGTGACACCCTCAAAAGACAACTCATCTCTCAACTTGCAAGGTGCCTCAAGAGAAGGGTAGGGGACCAGGACATCACAGGCTGATGGGAGCTCCTGGTGTTGCTAGAGATGGAACTTGGACTCGGAGACCTCTCTGCACTGTTCCACTGCTCCTGGCCTAGGTGGCAGGTGAGTGATTCTCTCAGTGACTCCCACCTGCCATTGAGGAAAAATGACTTGACTGGGGAAGGAAAGCAACACTTGGCTTGGGCAGGGGTCAGATGTGGGAGGGGAAAGGGAAAAAATGTGAGAGGGGGAATGATCAGGGAGGACTGGGTGAATGGGAGAAGGAGTGGGACTTCTCCGGATGGCCAGTGCTCTCAGGCAACTCCTCCCCTGGGCTCACCAGAGGCGGCAAACCCATTGTACTTGAACCTAAGCCCCTCCTGAGCTCCTGTTCACCCACCGAGTAGCCCATGCCCTCTCTGATCTCAGCCCCTTCCTGAGTCCTCCCTCCCCAGCCCACCAGCATGCCCTCCTTCTCCCTGAGGCTTCTCTCTGTCTCTCTGCGCAGCCTGCCCTGTGGCCAACCCTGGCCGCTCTGGCTCTGCTGAGCAGCGTCGCAGAGGCCTCCCCGGGCCCCGCGCCCCGCAGCCCCGCCACCCGCGAAGGCCCCGCGCCAG